GCTTCACTTTTATCAATCTCCGCTCTAGGCTCCCATCTATCTTGCCTCCTTGTGTTAAGAACTTCTTTAGGTTGTTCCCTATGTAAATTAGTAAACACCGTGTCTTGCCTCTCCATCCAAGCTTCTTGCATATCCATTCTATCTCCCATATCAACAAACGACCTTTCAAATTGTCGTATCATCTCCTCCATGATGATGACTTGATTATTCTTCCCGCTTGAAGTAGAATTGTCTGTGTTAGACATCCTAAAACTAGAATAACATTTGTCTTATATGTGTACACTCGTGTGTCACTCAATTTAACTTTTTCCCCAGTCTCAACACTTTGCCTTTTTTTTTTCACTCAATGCTTCCTTGTAAGCGCTTCAAAGAACTAATTCAATCTCAATACTCAAGAAAATAGGAATTTCAGACTTTGAATGAAAGCACTAAAGATAAATTCAAAAGGTGTTTTTTGAATTCGAATTGGACGTTTTTGACTTTGGAATTCAAAAAATTAGGTCAAACCCAAGAAAATTAAGAATCGACACTTGAAAGTTCAACCCAATAAATTATTGAACCAAAAAATCAAGACAATTGAAATCCATATATTGACACGGTGATCACAAAACCTACGAACCTCACTTGAATTGTTGAACACTACAAGAAATCAATTCTTGATAAGTTCGAGTTTAATTCGACGAATAACCAATTGAAAGCAATATGTCTCGCAATAATATTTCAATAATTGTGTGCTTTTTTACAATGAATAAAAAAATTTATTTATAGGGAATCAATAAAATTCTAGATAATCTCGAAATTATTGTAAAATTTACCAAAAAGTAGAGTGCTAACAAAAATAGCAAACTAGAATAAAATCATAATTCTTTTCCAGATGTTGAACTACGTGACCGCATAGCACACTATGGTACAACCGCATGGTAGGCTTCTTTTCTTCTTGGGTTGGTTTTGAGTATTGGATGCGGCCACAAGCTTAATTGCACCATACAGTCGCAGGGTTGGCCAGAAGACCTTTCTCTTCATTTTCTTGAAACAATTGAACCCATCTTGTTTTTCTTCCATGCCCAACATAAAGTTTGATGTTTTGCTCGTTGCTTTCGAATTTGGCCCATGCAACTTGAACAAGTAATCTCATGGCTTTCTTGATCTTCTTTGCTTGCGATCTCGTCATTGGTCCTTCTTCCACAACTAACAGATCATTACTAGCCTTCGTCCCATGGTTCTCATCAATCTTTTATCAATAGCAAAAAAAAAAAAAAA